TATATATATATAGGAAATAATATGGAAACATTTGAATCTTTTATTGCAATAATAATTATCTTTGATTATTTCAATAAAATGATTCAAGACAATATAATTGATAGGCAAAATTTTATATTGGTCGGATAATAACTTAACTAGTTTCCAAAACACACCAATAATAGTACAATGCAAAGAATCATCTTATTATAAACATGTAAATCATACATTTTTCATTCAAAACTAACTATTGATAAATTAAAACATATAGCTTATTAATTCACAGCATTAAAATAAAATATACTTATCTAAAATATCAATTCTAATTTTAATAAAAAGCATGTGTTTTTTTAATAGTGCTAGATGAGGTATAGTAGGTATAAAGTAAAATATTTTTAAATATGACTCTAAAAACAACCCATGAAATTTTTTTATGGAAAATTTTGAATTTTATACAAATTGAATTTATATAGATTAAATATGAAGCCTAACTTAATTTAAAGAGTCAGTGTTCTAAGTTTCAGTTCGAAGGCAGAATATTTTGATGAACTTTACACAATTTCATCAAAAAGCAAGAAAATTGTAATAGTTTTTTTATCAAATATTGTTGCAAAATGATTCAGTGGTGAATGGGTGCATTAATAAAGAAACCATATTTAATAACAACAAATTTAATAATAAAACAATAAAAAATATATGATACGAAAAGGGGCTCTCCAATGAGTCATCCAAATCAATCCATTGCCTGCCACATAAGTGATTACATAATTATATGTGAGTGAGTGATTACAGCGCCCTCTTCTGGTCAGGCAGAAATTTGTAACAAATATAAATGAAAGCGTAAAAATGGTAAATTATGGTAATTTAAGGTGTGTCTATAATGGTAATTTAAAGTGCTTTTAATGTTTTTAGTAGTCATGCATTTTTATTTATTTAGTTTTTTTCAGGAAACTGTTTTGTTTTCCATGACAAAACTGCCATATGAAGGCAGAAACTTGTGTGAAAACTTATTTATATCCTTAAATATGCTCACTAAGTCGTACCATTATGTAGTTGTATTTTTTTTCAATTGTATAATATGTCAGCTATATTGTTATTACCCCTATAATTTTTCTCTTTAAAAATTAAAATTCAAAAGAAATTTTGTTTTCAGTGTTAAAATTACTATATAGGGCTGTAATCAAACGAGTAATTTACTTTATAGTTTCATTATAAAAAATAGTTTATTAGTTATTTATTAAACTGATCTCAGGAGAAAAAAAATATCCATACCATATAATACTTAACTAAGCCTAAACATATACCCACTTCACCCCTCTTCAAAACACAATTCATAATAAATAGAAGTCTGAAGTTTACACCTATACTTCTACTTAGATCTATTTGCTCTTTAAATGTCCCTCTACTAGTTTGACCAAATATTAATAGTTTGTGCCAGGTTATAATGATATTGGAAGAAAGTTCATTAACAGCTTCAACTAACATACTGTATAAATTGATCCTAAACGTATAATTTGTAAACATAAAATTTTTTTTTAGTTTCCTAAACTGAAATAAAAATTCTTGCCACAATCCTATTGAATGTTTCTAAAATTATTTTAAGAAAAATTCAAAGTTCAAAAGGAGAAAATAGATGTTTTTTTTAACATTTTATCCATGATACCCACTTTATTCCACGTGACCCAGCTTTAGAAGTAAGCAAGACAGCACTATCCAAAACCTCCCTCTAATTGTAATCATAATTTTAAATTCACGTATAAATTCACACATTTTAAAAGTAAATAGCGCTAAAGACCCACTCTATTCTTTGAAATAAAATAATATTTACATATTATAATTTCAATTACATTTTAAAAGTAAACAATATATCCGTACCCAAAACCTAATTATTTTGATATAACAATTATCGGTTTATATTTTAAAAACATATTTAGAATGTTATTATCTCACCTAAATCCAAATTATTATTCATATTGAAGCAATATCTGTACATCAGCAACAATTTAAAAACTAAATAACACATCAACATCCAAAATATAACCTATTGCAATATATTAAAATGACTGCCCTGAAGCAACTGTTCCCAATAACCTTATATCAATTAAAAGGTATTGAAATTCCTGTTGTAACGCCTCATTAAACAAGTTGAGTATTAATCAGGATTTTCCATTGAGTATGCTGCGAGTTATGCTATCAGTTGATTAAGTCCGCTTCTCTTAAATCCTATACACTCAGTTCAAAGGTTGGAAAAGCAGATGAGGCAATATTTCAATAATGGTGCCTGCTTCAAGCAGACGTTTATTACCAGCAGATATAAACTCAATTCAGTGCATATAAGCTAACGAATGGATTTGAGCTGATTTATCACGTGATCCTTACTGCTTGAGTCAATTCCAGAAGAGGTAACCGATTCTGTATAAATGACATCATTCTAAAACTTTTCTTTAATTTGCAAATTCAAAACTGATTTTAACACGTAATTATGGCTACGTCAATTATTACATCATTTTGTGTAAAGCATAGCAACTAACTTATCAACAAATCAATTTTCCTTTGATTTTTAAATATTTCTATTGCTTAATGTTTTTTTAAAATTTATTTATTTATAATGAAATATAGTTAATTTTAACATGAATTAGTAAATGACTAAAATTGATGAAATTTCAATTTTCTTAGAAATCTGTTATGAATTAAAATGTATAAATGTATTTTAAACTGGCAAATTTGCTGATAAAGTTTTCATTTATTTGTTTTTTTCGCCTTCTGATTCATATGCAATTTTTTTAAAAAACAATTCAATGTTTATTAGTTTAAATGAGAATTTTCACGCCTTTTTGAGTCACTTTCTGCTTAAATGAATTTTTTTAAGTCAAATTTAATGTTACCGTGATTTTTTTAAGCTTAACTCATTGAAAGGAAACATTAAAATTGAATTAAGTAATATCTTTATATTTCTTTCAATCACTTTCAATTTACATTGAAATCAAAAAATTATTAATTTTTCACAGATCATATAAATGTATAGTTTGTCTCTTTATTTAAAAAAAATTAAAATGTTTATCAATTGAATTAAATAAGAGTAAAAAAAAATTAAATTTTAAAAATAATTCATATTTTTCAAATGTAATATGCGTAGAAACAAAATTATACTTTGTCATTTCCTCCTTTCATCCATCATCTTCTAATCATATTTCTTTTATAAATAAAAATTAAATTTCATGAAAAATCAAATTTAATAATCTTTTTTTAGTAGACTAAATTTTGTATAAAATACCCTCCTCTTGATAATCAAATTTAAATTAAATGCTGATATTTTAATATTGAAATGCATCTTTTTATTTCGAATTTTGTAACAACATACATTTTATTTATAAAAGTTATATAATTTATTTTCTACTCTTATCACTCTCTTTAAAGTTTTATATTATATACAGTGAGAAAAAAAAAATTAGACCACTCTAAATAACTTTTGATCTAATGATCGGATCGTCACGTACTAGGACTCATTCTTAATGTATCGAAGAGGTGTCCTCAAATATGCTAATTGATTAATGAATTAATGACTAATTAAGTTGGGAAATCAGTTACAGAAAGTATTTTCTCTGAATAAACCTTGCTTTTTTTCGACGAGTTCAGATTTCTGGACCCCAAAATATAGGAAGTAGATGCTATCTGGAAAATATGGCCCTAATTGTTTGATCAGGAGAGCTATCCAAATCATGGGCCCCCTAATGTTAATTTTATTTGTTATGGATTTCGCCATATCTAGAGAAATTGTTTAAGTGAATTGAAAAATATTTGCGCAATTTTTTTCCAGTTTTAAGATTCGTTTATGCTTGCCAAAAATGTATAAATTAAAATAATAATACATTTGATTTTTTTTTTTAAATATCAATTCATTCGAAAATACTTTTCAACCAAAAATCAATAATTATTATAAAGTGTGAAGAGTAAACTGGTCTATACATAGAAATAATAACTGTTTAGAACTTTTTCACCCAATGGTTTGCTCTCAGATATGAAATGTAAATAAATCCCAGATAGAAATTTTGAATTTTATGTTTTTTACTAGAGATGCAAATAATTTTTAACTCTTCATTTATTTACTTATTTATTTATTTTAGGTGTTTTTTTTATTCTTAAAACCTAATCTCTAGAAAAACTACAGAAAATAGTTAATATTTCATTTTCAATAATTTCCTTATGTGTAATATTGAATTCATTCAAAGTAATAGCCTAAACATGAAAGTTGCTTTAGCTAACGCTCACATTAGCTAAAATACGTTCGCGAAATGCATTTCGCAAAATAAAATTAATACAAAATTTACGAAAAAAAAAATTTTAATAGCAAATTGACTTTCTTCACACACAAAAAAAAACTATAACACACTAGCAAATTGTTTATTATTATTTTTTTATTTGCGTGCGTCAGTGCGTGTTCATACTATAGGTAGTTCAAACAATTTCTTGTGTGACGCAAATAAAGCACTACTTTCTCTTAAACAATATTGAGGTATGATTTTTAAATTTTCTTTTTTAAAACTTAATAATTATTCAAATTGCAAATTTTGTTGCGAAATTTGGTGGTTTAGTGACAATGAATAAATTATTGACTTAAATATTTCTTTTTTTAAATTTCAAAGATAAATTTCAAAGATTGCGAAAAAAAAATTTAAACATTATTTTTGAAATACTTGTAGGAATGTTTTTTCCAGTTAACCCGTAGCTTATCATCGTCCTCTATAGAGGACAGCGATAATTTGCTGAATTTTTGCAACGGATGTTGTTATATTTAATTATTTTTCACTTCCAAAATAATGTTTTAGATGGATTAACATTAATAAACTAATTTTATGATCAATTTTAAGTTTTTCGTATTTTTTATAGAATTTTGAAAATAGCTATTTTTTACAACATTTTTTAACGCTAATTAAAATTTAATTTTAAATAATTGCAAGAAGAAAAAAATAAATTTGTTTTGAAATTTATTTACCCCAAGCTCTTAATATTAAATTTGAGTAAAAACTGAATCGAAATATATATATTTAAACTGGTTTTACAAATAATTGATATGCTGTCCTATATGGAGGACAATGGTAAAATCCCCTACTATAAGCATCCTCCTGAGAAACTCAATTACATCTGGGTTTCTCTGAACATAAGTCCAGAGTTTGCTTTTAGAATTACTCCTCATTGGCCATAAGGTTTAATTACTAGGTGGCACTATCTTTTAGAGAGAAAATAATGAAATTAGAGGCGAGCTTTGCATTTAATGCCTATCCATTTTGGCAAAAAAATTTCTAAAGTTTTTAACAAATGAAATGAACATGACTATTTAGTGCCATTGATCAATGGATTTGATAATAGTGACCCTAAAGTGGTAATATTGCCACCTGATCTAGACGTAGTCACTGATGATGAAGTCATTGATGATGCCTGCACTAACATTGAACATTGACACAATATATATGATACAAAAAACCACAGGAAGAAACTGCAGGAACTATTGAAGTTATAAAACTGCTGAAGCAATAAATATTTCATCACCAAAATGGACTAATCGAAATTTTCATCAGCTCCTGAGTTACTTCTGGGTTATTCAAAAATTAAATCTAAAAACTGATGAATTTAAGCAATTTTTGAGAATTATGTTCTTTAGCGGTTAGTAGTATAAGGGGCACTTTGGCTTCCGGAAGTGACGTCACTCCGGAAAGCCAAAGTTTCCCCTTATACTACTTAGCGCGTAAAACCTGATTGCTAATTAAATCTGATTTTCGGGATGTTCTTTTAATTAAATATTTGTCTATTTTTAACTATATTATTTTAATTTATTGTCTTTTTTAGTGAAATAAATGTTTTTAATTATTTTTTAGTAAAATAAATGTATTTAAGTTCTTTTTTTTTTATAGTTAAAATTGTATTTTTAATTAAATACGCGTATTTACTACTTTATTCATTGCATATTATAATATTAAAAATAATATTCATTGGTGTTTCTTTCGGAAGAGATGGAAGAATCTGAGAGTTTAAGACTCTTAATAATTTCTATGATAATAAACGAATATTGTCTAAACGCATATTTGATCGAAAATAATTGCATCGCGCACCTGCCGCATAAATTCGTTTCATCTTTGAACGAAATAATTGCAAAGCGCATGCTATTTTATAAACGTAATAAATATAATAAAAAACGTAATAAATATAATAAAAAATATCTCTCCAGATGTCTCTTTTTTTATTGTTTTTAAATAAAAAATTTGTGGAAGAGGAATCTGGAAAAAATTTCAGTGATAATAAATGAGTATCAACTAAACGCATCTTTGATCGAAATACTTGTAACGTGCTTGCAATTTTAATAACGTAATAAATATAATTAAAAAACTTTTCCAGAATTCTCTTGATTATTTATTTATTATTTTTTTGTTTATTAAATACAATTTTATGAGAAAGGAATCTACAGAGAAATTTGAATGATTATAAACTAA